GGTCTGGCTTCTTTTGCTCAGCTTTGTTTGCTCATTCATGTTGTGGTTGCAGGCACACATTAATTTTCATTGCTGTGTGTTATTCCATTGTATGAATATACCACAGTTTATTTTTTCATTCTACCACTTATGGTATTTGTAGCTTCCAGCTTGGGACTATTATGAATAATGTCACTCTGAATATTTTTATATATGTCTGTTAGCTAGATCTACTTGGAGTTAAACTGAAGGGTAAGAATGTGTGTGTATTCAGCTTGAGTACCAAGTACCAAAAGGTTCCATGGTGGTTGTGCCAACTGAGATCCTCACTAATAGTCTATGAGAGAGTCAGTTACTCTGCATCCTTGCCAACATGATGTACGATCATTCTTTTAAGCTATAGCTATTCTGGTAGGTATGAATCACCAGATAACTATAGTTTTAATTTGCTTTTTAGTGACTAATTCTGTTGAACACATTTGTGTCTGCTTATTGGCCCTTTGAAGAAGCTTTTGTGTAAAGTGCTTGTTCAAGACTTTTGCTCCTGTCCCTCTTAGGTTGTCTTTTTATTACTAATTTGTTAGAGTATTTTGTATAGTGTGCATACAATTACTCTTAGTGACATGCATTATAATATTCTTCACAGTATAGTTTACTTTTTCACTACCTTAATAATGCCTTTGGATGAAAGAAGTTCCAAATTTTAATGTAATACAATTTATCCATCTTTTTCCTTTATGAATACAACTTTATGTGTATTATCCCTATGACCATATTCATCGGTGTTTTTTCTAGAAGCTTTATTGTTTTATCTTACATTTGGACATACAATATATCAGGAATGACTTTTTCATCCATAGTATTGCATGCATTAGCTTATAGTCCTTTGTATTGCTGAGAAGCATTCCATTACATAAGTATGCAGCAAAATACCCCTTGGTGTTTTTTCCAGTTTGGGGCTATTATGGATAAAAGTACTATAAAAAGTTTGTACAAATGTTTTTATAGCCATGTGTTTTCATTACTCTTGGATAAATACATAGAAGTGGAATTGCTAATTCATACTGCTGTACATGTAAGTTTAATTTTATTAGAAACTGTCACTTTTCCAAAGTTGTTATATCATCTAATACATCTGCCAATAATAGGGAAGTTCCAATTATTCTACAACTTTGACAACATTTGGTGTTGTTAATCTTTTTAATTTTAGCCATTATATTATGTGTGAAGTGTTACCTCATTGTAGTTTTTATTTGCATTTCCTTATCAGGACTGATCATGTGTTTATCAGCCACTCATACATCTATCTTTTGTTATTTCATTTGCCTATTTCTACTGTTATTTATCTATTTTGTAACTGCATCACATGTATTCTTTATATAATCTGGAAAAACAGTTCTGAAAGTTCTGGAGATCTATTGCACTATAATGTGAATATACTTAACACTATTGAACTGTATATTTAAAAATAGTTAAATTTTCCAGTGTATTTTTTTTAACCACAATTACAATTTTGTAAAATTTTAAACCTAAGACCCATATCTATGATTCACTTATTACCTATTCACTTTTACAATGATGTCTTTTGATAAGCAAAAATTTTTCCATTTTGATTTGGATGAAATTTTAATTTTCTTTCATTTTCCCCCTTTGTGGTTACTGCTTTTTAAGTTCTAAGAAATATTTAACTATCTAAGATACAGTATCTTAGGTATAACATATCCCTCTTTAAATTATTCCTAAGTATTTTGGGTTTTGATTCTGTTATAAAGGATATTTTTCTAATTTCAAACTATCTCTCAATTCAGGCAAAACAGTTCAAGGTGAATTATAGACAGTTAATAATGCTAGGTGGATGAAATTATCAACAGCTTCTTCAAAAAAGAGCAGTCTCTTATAGAGAGAACCACTATGGAAAGATACCTGTACTTGATTCATGTGAAGAATCAAGTGTTGTGGATAGTCACTAAGAAGAGATTCTGTGGCAGGCTACCTTAGATTCCTGATGAGTGATTTAAAATTCATGCTTATACTTTGCTCCTTGATGAGCAAGATTGGCAATTCGTATTTGACATGAAAATAGGGAAACATACAGAGAGATTAGCCAGGAGAATGCTCTAGTTGTCAGTCAAGATGGTAAGGGCTTATACTAAGAACTATCCAAAGGAACTCTGAAGCATGAGATCTTAAAAGGCTCAGTAATAAGTTAAAAATGGCTCCGTTTGTGGGGAAAGGTGACGAAGATGAAAAACTGAAAACAATGCTAAGAATATACTGGCTTTCCTGATTACATTTTCTTTTTTTTCTCTTTAAAGATGCACTTAGTGAACAGCTTGCTGCCTCAGTACAGCATTCCACTATGCCAAATGAGGGCTGAGTGTGTGGTTTTCCCAGTTTGGGTTACTACATGACATTAGTCTTTTCAGACAAGGTTCCTTAATAGCCATGTTCTGCTAACACTGTAGAACAGTGGGAACGTTTTACATTTCTCTTTTGCACATGATATTTGAAAACGTAACTCAATAGCAGTCATGGTAACAGTTCTATGAAATAAGAGTACATTTCATAGTATTTTAACTGCTGGTTCCAGCTATTATCTTGCCAGACATTATGCAAACTGTCACAACAGATACCCGAGTCAACATTCACAAACTCTCAGAATGTCAGTACTAAAAGTTAGTTTGGAAATAATCAGCTTTTTCCTATTATGGAAGTAGAACTTTTAGGCTTTGAGGGCCATTCAGCCCCTATTGCCCCTCTGCCATCATAGCATGAAAGCATCCATAGACAATATGTAAAGGTATGAATGCAGTGGTTTTCCAATAAAACTTTACAACAAAAAAAAGTAGAGAGCTAGTTTTGGCCTCCGGGCCACAATTTGCAGACACTTGCCTTAAAATTTCAGTATCTCCAAAATCACGACCTTAAAAATAGGTAAATTCAGTTCCCTCCTCCATAATCTGGCTATTTTCTCTGTGCAATCCATCTCTCCTAAGTATGCCCTACATATAGAAGTCAGTACCCTCTGCTTCAGTATTTGCATGATTCTTCTTCAAGAATGTTTTGGCTTACCTCATTCTATAAAATCTATTCTGTGTTTCATGGAGAACAGACTGAATCAGTATTCGTTGTTTATGATCATCACAGATTTTCCCCCTTTTGTTGGGCTGCCCAGTGGCTACAATTCTCACCACTATAGGTTAAAGAGAAAATGTTTAATTTTTAGTAAGAACTCTGAATAATTACATACATGGAGCCCTCAAAATAGCTCCCTACAATTTAATAGTTATTTGATTATTATCCTGTTCTTAAATGTATGAGTGACACAGCTAAACCAAATTTCTCAGGATCAAATTTATATCCTGCAAAACAAAGGTAATGAATTATACCTTTTATGTATCACTAGAGACTGGTACTCTTAATTTAATAAACTTTGAAGTTGTTTGAAAATAAATTTTCTACATGATTCAATGAAGAAGTCATTAGTGGTATAGCTCTTTTTTCCAAACATATTGATAAATAGTATTCTTGTTGAAATTAATGAAAAAGATTATTTTAAGCATATTGCCTATTGATTTTGTAAATGGCCCACCTAAATTTGGATAACATTTGATTTGTAAATAAGGAAAGTTAGAAAGACATTATAAAGAGAGTTTTTTTTCTAGGTAGTCTCATTAAAGAAAAAGCCATTAAGTCTTCACCTCTGGAGGTGTTCCATTTAAGGAAGCCTAGATCCCTGGTGAAGCGGACAAGTAGTTCAGAGATGACAATTAAAATGCTAATCCTTCTTGCAAAATTATGGCTTAAAATCTGAGGGACTAATTAGAGAAAGTGGAAGCAATTGTTTTTAGAGAGCATTCATTCTAATATAAAGACTGCAGTACACTAACACTAAGAAGGAAAAATAATTAAGCCATAGCCTTTAACGATATTAAGAATGAATGCACAGTTTAAGGCTATACTATTTAATATGGTCGTCACTGGCCACATGGCTTCTGAGACTTGAGCTTTTGAAAGTGACTAGTGTTTCTAGAAAACTGAATTTTGAATTTATTTCATTTTAATGGATTTAAATTTGAAAATTAACAGGATTCAGTTATTGGAAAATTTTAAGCATGTTTACAGCAACTTAGTATGTGGCTCTGCTTTTTCAACTGTAAAATTTATGAAATATAACTATAGATCAAATGTTTCAGATGAAAAGTCACATCTAGATTGAGATGTCCCATAAATGTAAAATGAACAATGTATTTTGAAGACTTAGAATGATAAAATGTAGAGTATCTCCAGTATAATTTTTGTAATGATACATGTTGATATAATAATATTTTGGATATATAGGCTAAAGAAAAAATATTAAAATAAATTTCAACTTTTTGTTTGTTACTTTTCACAATGTGGCAACCAGCAAATTTAAAATTAGTACATTGCTTGCATTATTTTTCTTTTGAACCATGCTGGTTTAAGGAGATTCTTACAGAATCTAGTGTCTAGTAAGATGTCACTAGAATCCATTTGATGCACAAAAATGCAGTCTGACTCAGCAACTAAATATCATCAAAATCATAGCCTTTTTTCCCCTCAGTCTGGCTCTCCAGTCAGTGATGGTATTGTTAATAATCTCAATTTTTTAAGCAGTCACTGGAGCTGATAACTAATTCAGTATCATTTACTTTTCTATTTAACTCATACTAATAATTTTTTTATTATAGATAAGAAAATTTCTTAGAAAATTTTAGCTAGACAAATTATTGAGAAATTGTAACAGAGGAAAAAGTATGGCTTTGTTTGACTATTATTATACGTGTTGGGTAATATACAATATGAAGCATTTAAACTGTATCTGAAAGTTGATAGTGTCCGCTTTTACTAAGATGTGTTCTTTTATCCTCACCACAAACAAAATGGGCAGAAAGCATGGCCAAACTTATAATGTTTATTGTTCTGTCAGGTATCTTTATGGTGAGAAATGTGACTTTCACCATGATTTTGTCTAACTGTTCATCTGTCATTTCTTCTAGGAGGTGATTTCCTCTCCTTCCTGAGAAAGAAGAAGGATGACATAAAACTCAAACAATTAGTGAAATTTTCATTAGATGCTGCTTCTGGTATGTCATATCTCGAGAGTAAAAATTGTATACACAGGTAAGGAGAACAGTTTTAAAACATTTTCCACTTTTATCAGCAGAATGCTAGAAAATCTCATCTATTTGCCAAAATACAGTGATAAATTCCTGTTACAAAGCTTGTATGTTTTCTTGTTGGCTTTTGTGTTTTGTATGAAAGTACTCTTTGACAGTTGTTTACTGAACTGTAACAGGTGTTATAGGAACACTTGTTTTCTATCTCACCTGAGGTAAGTATATCTAATTAGACATTAAGTTACCTGTTAATTATAATTTGTTTTGTTATAATCATCAAAAACATACTGATAAAATGTACAAGTTAGTCTAGAGCAGCTATAGTCTTATACTCAAATGATTGTGTGTTACTTATTCTCGTTTTTCAGGGAAATTACTTATGAAGTTATGGAAAAGTATAATAGGAAGGCAACAATTCATGACAGTGAATTTGGCCAAGAGTAATAGATTTTAGCATACTAGTTATTTCAAAGATTTTAGAGAACTTTCTCTAATTACATTAATGCTGATGACTTCATCTTACTGCTCTTTATAGACTGGTTTTAGTTGCTTATAGCTGAAAATGTTCTTTACTGCTAAGTGTCAGTACAGCTTCAGGTCTCTTGCAGAAATCATGTCACATCCTAAATATGGCTGAGTGTGTATAAACAAAATGAAGTGGGGAATTGATGCAGCTTTAATTTGATGTGAATACATCACATAATACTGTTTACTGTGGAGGAGGGTTTGTTGTCAGATTGAACTATTGTGGACTTTAAGCTGGTTTAGTTAGAGGTATATTTTTCTCTGATGTGTTTTATTATACAGCTTTTGACTTAACATACAGGTGAGGTTTATAATGTATAATTACAGTAGAATAAAGTTACCTTTACTTGAAATAAGCATATATTTGATTTTGATGGATATTTTTTACTTAATTTTCCCCAAAAAAATCTTTGCTTAGTGTTCAGTTTTATTTTGAAACCAAAATTATGGCTTATGTGTCAAACATGGTTCAATAATTGCATGTACTTTAAAATACATTTCAATAGAGATACTATTCTAAAAATTAAGACAATTGAACTAAGCTACTTTCCTTATATTTGTTTCCTATGAACATAGATCAAATCACATTATAATATATATTTTTATAAAACATTTGATTTGGAAAAAAGTTGCATTATCACTAATTTCCTTATAATTTTTTTGTTAAAAGTAGCAATATGTGTCTTAACCCTTAGAGAAAATCTGTCTTTTTGATTACTCAAGTGTTAAAGCTACTTCAGGTATCAACTTTCTACTGTGGTTATTCATTTTGTCTTAGATTTTTTTCAAACTATTAGACTATCTGTGGTTTTAAACCATAATAAATATGCATTATTGAAACCATCTTATTAATTTGTCAGTTACCAGTAACAGTCTTTAATTTCTGGTGCATTGTGGTTGAGGGAAATGTTTCAATTTCTTCCATTTCATTGTTGTTTCACTGCTTTTGTAGTGATTGCTTTTCTTGCAAAATAGATGACCATATTCTTTTATGTGGCTGTATTATCAGAATAGAAACCAGTCCAAATTAAGACGGCAGCTTTAAAAAATTTATCCCACTCACCAAATCATGACATTATTTGCTATCTGTTATTTTCCCATTTTGCTTTTTAAGAATTTTCATGTGCTTAGAAATTTTTGAAAGTCAACCCATGCTTGACCACATGTCATAGAAGGTTGTGTATAGCCCTGAGCTATTTGCCTCCACGGAAGGTTCCCAATTGAACATTTTGCACATGTCACTGAGAACTGGCTTGACAAATAGTTTCAGTGCCAACTTTCAGAGACTGGTAGTACCTTTTTATATTGAAAAGGATTCCAGGATTGGCAACAAAGAATTCAGTGATTCATGAGTCACATCTGTCAGGGTATCAACAAGCGTTACCACACAAGCCCTAAATGTGTCATTTGTGGCATAGAATACTTTTGTCATACTTTTCTGTTTTTATGTGACTTTCCTTGCTAACTAATATAGCTACAATATATATATTTTTATAGTCACTTCTGTTGATTTCCTCTAAACTATCTGCTATTTGTATTTCTCTTGTTAATCATAATGGCTTGGTATATTTTATATCTCTAGCCAGTGGTCTTTTGTTCCTCTTTAAACTTATGTCAATGCTATTTTGGATGAATTCATTTCTTTTCTTTTCATTTTAATACCTCACCAGTAGATGACAATGTATTGAGAAAATAAATCATTCTTTCTGTTGAAATTTTTATAGAAGTGAATTGTGGGTAGTGCCCTCTTCCTATGTGTCATCCTGTGGAACTGTTTCTGTGGTAACAGTAGTAATTGCAGTGGAGTTTCAATTGATTTATAGTTAAAAGATATATGAAGACGTATGTATTTTCCCCTAAGAAATATCATATATGCATTTAATATACTTTATATACCATATCTATATCTGTAGCTATACAAATATAGCTACAGATACAGATATATAGATACAGTATTTACTGTAGTGAAAAATGTTTTCTCTTCATTGGAAAATTTCTAATGAAGTATTTCAAAATTAATTAAAATACTCTAAAATATGATTGAAAGTTTCTTTTCATTTTTTAAGTAATGAAGAAAGGCACCAAGCCCCATTCTTGACTCCACAAAATATTAGTAAATGTATGTATGTCTATGGGTTATGAAGACTGTGTCCCACAAATCAAAGCAAAAATTTTAAATGTGCTTTATATTTATATGAGCTTATAAATTATATACCATTCACTGATTAGAGGTGACTGAAATTCAGTACCTGGAAATATTTCTACTTGTCTCTCCCAAAAATAGTATCTTAACTTTTGGGGGACACATTTTCTTTCTTTACCATTGTTGTATTGTTTGATTTCTGTGAGAAGAGTAGAACAATGTTTCATTATAGATAAACAGGTATGACAGCTATAAAATGGAAACAAGTAATTGCATAAAGAAATGGCCTGCTTTTGGAAAATGTTCTTGTTGTATTTTCATTTCACTTCCGGGAGAGTTCTCTTGGTACCCTAAATTTCTAATTGAAACCATTTCTGTTTACAGTTTGAGAATTGCCGGATATTTAGTGTTTCAGTTTGGTTTTAACCAACTGCATTTCCTTTATAATTATTCTATAGGCCAGTGTGAAATTTTCTTTCATACTTGTACTTTATACAAACATTTGAAGTATACTGATAAATTTTGGGGGAGTGTTTTACTTAACAATAGTATGTTATTAGATTTTTTGATGTCATTCTAGAAAAAGTATTAAACCTGACTAAATTTCACATTAAATGGATTGTAGATTGACATTATTCTAGATTTCAGGGGTAATGACATTTATGGTTTTATTGCTAATGAATTCTGCAAAATTTATTTTTATTTGAGTTTATTTCCAAAAGTTGATTTTGTACCATGTTCTTTGGTGTCCATGGAAAGTAATGGGATGATAAACTCTTGGTTGCTATGTATTTGATTTAAAGACCATAATCTATGAGGGGTTTTGGAAGCATTTCTTAATGTCATGATATTCCATGTCATTGTCAATGCCTGAAAATGTGCTTTTGGAAAGGTGACATAGAATATTTCTTTTTTTAATTTTAAAACTTGTACTGATTCCTCTTAGTTTTTGTTTGTTCTACCACAATGATGTTTCTTTGATATGGAGTAAGATCAATGACTCTACAAATTAAAGTATTTAAGACCACATTTCTTTTATTGCTTAGCAAGAGTTTTTCTTATCCATTGAAAAAAAATATATTTCTGGTGCTTCATAAATGTAAACAGTTGCCTACTCAGTGCCAGGGCGATGTCAATATGAAAATTATGGGCTCTGCCTTCAGATGGACATAACAAAAAATAATAATGCAAAGAGATAATCAACTTAGTGATAATATATACAAAATACCATGGAAGTAATATCAAGAGGATCTAATATGATCTATTAGTATGGGGGCTGTGGTAGAGGTAAACAGGGAAAGTTTTTCAAAGGATACTGTCTGAGACTTGATGGATAGGTGTGTTACGAATAGGGGGAGAAAGGGTATTCCAGCTGAAGGAAAGTTGAAAGCAAACTTACAATGTTTTCAAGTTTCACTGGAAACCTAATTTAGGAAAGCTAATATTGCCCAGAAAGGAACAAACACTATTACATCTTGCTTAGATATTTTCTAGAAGGAGATTGTTTCATCCAGTGATTTCTGATAAGACTTAGGCATGTGTACTTTTCAAGATAAAGGTAAAAACTGCTTCTATCTTATTTTTGGTTTTTGTGATTTCATATTTCATAAAGCTAAAGATTTGACCTTTTTTGATAGGTTTTTAATTGAAGTACAGTTGAAATACAATATTGTATTGGTTTCAAATATACAATATAGTAGTTTGACAGTTATATACATTATTAAATGCTCACCTCAATTAGTGTAGTTACTATCTGTCAACATAGAAAGATGTTACAGAACTATTGACTATATTCTCTATACTGTATTTTCATCCCCTAAAGATTTGATCATTCACATTTTCCCTAGTGATTCTTGAGGGTCTTTCTCTATTTTTTAATTGTAACTGATTACCTAGCATCTGAGCTCTTCCTAAGCATTAGCTGTACTGAAAAAGTATTCTTGTGTTTAACACATCTTCACATCATTTAAATGGTAAGATAAAGCCAAAGTACACAAAATTAAATTTTTTTCCTAATGTTTTTGAATACTTCACTTCTCTGTCTCTCATGATTTGCCATATTTTCAAAAGAAAAGACTCTAAGATCACTTTACAGATTGAGGCCCAGTGAGATTAAATGAAGGCCACCTAGGCAATTAATAGCAGGGCCACTGCTAGGTTTTAAATGTGCTTCATTGTAACACATTCCCAGGCCTTCCAATGCCAGTGTTTCACTCCGTCTCATTCAAATATTAATCCTAACAGCTGACATTTATTGATTACGTCCTGAATACCAGGCACCAGACTAATTAAGTGCTTTAGACACAACATTTGACAGAGTAGGCTTCATGGGGACA